GTGAGGTTAGGAGGACAGATGAGGCCTATACTGTGCTACAGAATGGGCACGTCCTTTGCTATCGGGGCTTGGCAGACAGAAGAGAACTGGTAGTGGGGTTCCTAATTCACAGAAACATAGCTGGCAACATAGAGGAATACTATAGCATTAATGAAAGGGTGGTGGGCATTGTAACTAAACTGAATTAAAGATACAAGATGAAGGTAGCACAGGCTTACGCGCCTACATCCAGTCATGATGACGCTTCAGTTGAAAGCTTCTATGAAGACGTGGAATCGGCAATGAGTAAGGTAAAAACACAGTATACTATAGTGATGGGCGATTTTAATGCAAAGGTAGGGAAGAAGCAGGCTGGAGACCAGGCAGTAGGAGATTATGGCATCGGCACTAGAAACACCAGAGGAGAGCTACTAGTAGAATTCGCAGAAAGCAATAATTTGCGGATTTTGAATACCTTCTACCGCAAACGAGAAAACCGCAAATGGACATGGAGGAGCCCTAATGGCGAAAATAAGAACGAAATAGACTTTATAATGACTGCACACCCAGGAATCGTGCAGAATGTGGAAGTGGTTGGCAAGGTACGATGCAGTGTCCATAGAATGGTACGGTCTCGAATTCGCCAAGACTTGAAGAAGGAACGACAGAAACTGATACGCAAGAAGCCAATCAACGAGCTAGCACTGAGAGCGGAAGTACAGGAATTCAGAGTGTCGCTGCAGAACAGGTACTCGGCTCTTAGTGAGGAAACCAACCTTAGCGTAGATACAATGAATGATAATCTGACGAGTATCATTACGGAGTGTGCAGTGGAAGTTGGAGGCAGGGTAGTTAGACAGGACACTGGCAAGCTTTCCCAGGAAACGAAGAACCTAATTAAGAAGCGTCAAACCAAAAAAGTGTCAAGTACAAGAGATGAAATAGAACTGGCAGAGCTTTCGAAGCTGATTGTTAGACGTAAAGTATGCGATGTAAGAAGGTATAACATGGAGAGAATTGAACACGCTCTGAAAAACGGAGGAAGCGTCAAAGCAGGGAAGAGGAAACTTAGGATAGGCAAAAGTCGGATGTATGCACTAAGGGACAAAGAAGGCAAAATAACTACCAAGATGGATAGGATAGTTAGAATAGCGGAGGAGTTTTACAGAAATCTGTACAGTAGCCGAGACAACCACGACCTTAATACTATAAGAACTAGCAGTAACCCAGATGACACCCCACCAGTAATGATAGAAGAAGTCCGAAAAGCTTTGGAGAGCATGCAAAGAGGCAAAGCTGCTGGTGAGGATCAGGTAACATCAGATGTGCTGAAAGATGGAGGACAGATTGTGTTAGAAAAACTAGCAACCCTGTTTACGAGGTGTCTCCTCACGGGAAGGGTACCAGAGTCTTGGACGAACGCTAACATCATCTTAGTACATAAGAAAGGAGATGACAAGGACTTGAAAAATTACAGGCCGATCAGCTTGCTCTCTGTAGTATACAAGCTATTTACGAAAGTAATTGCAAACAGAGTAAAGAAAACATTAGAACTCAATCAACCGAAGGAACAAGCAGGATTTCGAACAAGCTACTAAACAATCGACCACATTCATACTACCAATCAGGTAGTAGAGAAATGCTCAGAATATAACCAACCACTATACATAGCCTTCATAGATTACGAGAAGGAGTTTGATTCAGTAGAAATATCAGCCGTCATGCAGACACTGCGGAATCAGGGTGTCGATGAAGTATATATAAACATCCTGGAATAAATCTACAGGGAATCAACTGCTACCATAGTTCTTCTTAAAGAGAGCAATAAAATACCAATCAAGAAGGGTGTAAGGCAGGGGGACACAATCTCCCCAATGCTATTTACCGCATGCTTACAGAAGGTTTTCAGAAGCCTAGAATGGGAACAGTTAGGGATAAGAGTTAATAGAGAATACATTAGTAACCTGCGCTTCGCCGATGACATTGCATTGCTGAGTAACTCAGGGGACGAATCGCAACTCATGATTACGGAGTTATACAAGGAGAGCAGAAAGGTGGGTCTTAAAATTAATCTGCAGAAAACGAAAGTAATGTACAACAGCCTCGGAAAAGAGCAGCGCTTCGAGATAGGTAATAGTGCACTTGAAGTTGTAAAATACTATGTCTACTTAGGGCAGGTAATAACCGCAGAGCCTAACCACAAGATTGAAGGAACTAGAAGAATAAGAATGGGGTGGAGCACAATCGGCAAGCACTCTCAAATTATGACAGGTAGATTGCCACTATCCCTCAAGAGGAAGGTATATAACAGCTGTATCTTGCCGGTACTTAGCTACGGAGCAGAAACCTGGAGACTTACAAAGAGGGTTCGGCTTAAATTGAGGACGACGCAGCGAGCAATGGAAAGAAAAAAAAAAAGTGGTAGGTGTAACCTTAAGAGACAAGAAGAGAGCAGAGTGGATTAGGGGACAAACGGGGGTTAAGGATATCATAGTTGAAATAAAGAAGAGGAAATGGACATGGGCCGGGCATGTAGCGCGTAGACAGGATAACCGCTGGTCATTAAGAGTAACTAACTGGATTCCCAGAGAAGGGAAGCGGGTTAGGGGGAGACAGAAGGTTAGTTGGGCAGACGAGATGAAGAAGTTTGCGGGTATAAATTGGCAGCAGCAAGCACAGGACCGGGTTAACTGGCGGAACATGGGAGAGGCCTTTGTCCTGCAGTGGATGAGTCAGGCTGATGATGATGATGATTATGATGATGTGTACACAAATAAAATATATACCATTCTTCAAGAGGCGGGTTCATCAACTGCCTATAGATATACACCATGAAGCATCTTCGATGTGCTTCGATTCTTTCCCGCATTTCTCGCGCCCTGCTAATTCTTGCCATATGTTAGCTATCTATGGAGTGCAGCTGATTGTGAATACACGCGTGTAAGAAGCCACGCTCGCACAAGATACCATCGTGGGCTGGCAGTTGCACGAAAACATGTATAAAATATTTACCTGTGCCCTTTAGAGCCTATGGGGATGCACATTCGCCGGAGAATGCACTAGAAGTGTCGGCCGGCTTCTTTGAGGTACAGTCACCTGTGCCAGTGAAGTGACCTCGCGGTGCTGTCAACAAAACCGTTCTCGCTGCGGAAGTGAATATGAACGGGCGCTTTCATGTTTCCTAAATTCCGTTTAACACAGGTTTCTCCCTCTCGCATGAACGCGCCATGCGTCTATTTGTTCGCTGTTTCAAAACCACGTGCACTGCCCGCCTCGGCTCGTCTAATCAGCAAGACAAGTCGCCCTTCATCCCTATCTCAAAAAGTCGCGTAAGTGTTTCAGCTAACACGCGATAATATCGGCCCGTTCAAAGAGACCAAAGTTATCTGCCGCTTCTCGTGTGCAGGGTAACTGGCCCACAATGAGTTATTTTAAGTGGTGAAATTCTATAGGCGGCGTCGATTCAGCCTGCCGGGTCCGCGACCACTGTCGTTTCGTCGCGCCTCAAGAAGCAGCGCATACATGAAAGTATACCACGTACTTGGTGAAATCGGTTGTTAGAATGGTGCAGCAGCTCTATTAGTCGTGTGCTGGTCGCATATATGCAGCCTTGCAATCCAGCCAATCACAAGTGAAGCACAGTTCGCGTTTCCTTTAACCCGGAGGAAGGAGTACGTCAGCGCAGTTTACGACACTTCTGCAGCCTGCGTGGTAGCTTGAATAACTCTAGTGACAGGTTACCTACCACGAAATCAATCAAGCCGCTTTGCGCACAACTCCGCTGAGGCTGTTAGCGGCGTCTCAATCGGCTAACTTGCAAATGACTGGTGGTCTTTTTCTAAATCTGAATGGTAGTCTTTCTCTAAATTTGTGTTTTCGAATCGAGGTTGTAGCGTTCTGGTGGGTAGGCATTTCACATGGCCATACTGGTGCTCACTTCAAGGTCACGAGTTCAACCATGCAGCGAGGAGGCCGCATTCCGGGGAAAGCGATATGGTTGAGTTGAAATAACAAGAGAACTAGAGAAGTGCATGAGACCGCCATCAATAGCTGTCATTGATGCTGAGATTTTGTATCTACAGCATACGGCATTAAAAGCTTGATCGGGGGTGATAGGGTTTTGCCAGCGGAGCACTTGCCGTGCAGTGGCCCACGGTTAACTGTACAGCGAGTGTTTCAATGTTACATTGGAGATAGCAGCGTCGCAAAATGGGCACGATTCACCACATATGTAGGGGCCACACTACTGTTGTTGCCGGAGACAAGTGACCGAATGGGCGAGTTCAGTCATGACGCATATTTGCCAGAAAAACGTGCTTTCATCTCTGAAAATGGCACGTTTCTCGATGCCAAGTGTGTCCTGCCTGCTATGCGAGATATTCATATTCAGTGGTGCGCGCAGAACTTGCATGACGGCACGGGGCAGCAAGCAGCAAACAGAAAAGGGGTAACCTTCAACAAGTGCTTGTGTTTGCTGCTTCATGTGCCCCGCCGCGGTGGTTTAGTGGCTAAGGTACTCGGCTGCTGACCCGCAGGTCGCGGGCTCAAATCCCGGCTGCGGCGGCTGCAATTCTGATGGAGGCAAAAATGTTGTAGGCCCGTGTACTCAGATTTGGGTGCACGTTAAAGAACCCCAGGTGATCAAAATTTCCGGAGCCCTCCACTACGGCGTCTTTCATAATCATATGATGGTTTTGGGACGTTAAACCCCACAAATCTAATGTAATTTTGCTGCTTCATGTACCATCGTGTAAGTAAGTTCGGCACTTAACACTGAATGTGCCGGGTGAGGAAGGCCAGTAGTTTCTGAATTTTTTCATTGCAACTTTAGCAGTATTTTAATACTTATGTAGAGGATAATGACTTCACTAGAAGAGTAAAAAATTGTTGTCTTGTCATCACCATCAATATGGCGTGCGCTGACTACGAGCTCACGCGCACAGAAGAAGAGAAAGAACGAGGTGGCCGGTCGCATGTCGAATATTTGCGACATAAACTCGGATCCGCGCTTCCTAGCCGCCATGGACTCCAGTCGCTTGCCGTTCACTTTGGAGTCCGTGTGGGCCCAACGCAGCAGCGGACTGCTGGCGGCCGCAGAACACGAGATACGTCTGGCCGAACGACTCCAGCGGCAGCAGCAGCAGGAGCAGGCCTGTGCTACCATGGCGCCCAGTCACCACGGCAACGAGTGGCGACTCTCCAAGCACGACACGTCCCACGCGGGCTGCTGGATGCGCTACACGTCTTTCGTGCTGGGCGTAGCCGCGGTAGCTTCGTCGACGCTGTTCACCGCACCCGTCGTCTTCATGGCACGCATCAATTCCTGCCATCACGGCTGCTTGTCCCTCGAACATGACCTTAAGGCATCTCTGAACCACAACATTCATCCGTGTGACGACTTTTACAGGTGAGGAAATGTGAGCTTAAGCTGTGACGGGGCGTCACTGTGGCATGAGTCAGACATGGTGGATGAAGTCAAGGCCGCTATTAGGTAGCGAAGCGTCATGGTCATTTCTACGTTAATCTTCTCATCTACCGCTAATAGCATTGATAGCGTGAGCGGACCTTCGCCCTTTAGCCACTCGTCAAGCTGGAAAAGCACAAGGCGTTTGCAACGGCAGATGCATCGCGATAAGGTACTGGTACTGTGATCGCCTCGTCGCAAGGTCATAGAGATGAAAATACAATGAGTAAGGTCCATGAGCCTGAAAAGCGTGTTTAACAGGACAAACACACAATCTCCCTACTAGGAAGCGCGCTTCTAGAAAACACACAATCTCCTTACTATGGCTCGCTGACACACGTGTTCTTTCTTTTTTTTCATGATCTGAAATGATGCTTCATTAAGCTCGTGCTCGATTCAATTTTGATATCTTGAGAGGACCTCATAGCGAATAAAGAGCGGAAAGCAGCCACACGAAGATTGTATTGCCAAGATGCTTCTTGTTGAAGATCCGATATTGCACACATGTTCTCCAAGACAATCATTCTTGTGGGACAAATCGGCCGTTGCTAAGCCCTTAAAATGTTTGCGCATTTGTGGAAGGAGAGGCAGTAGGATACAAAGCGAGAGGTGGGAATGGGGAAGTAGCAAGACGAGAAAACATGCACTCTGCATCAACCTCGGCGAATTTGACGTCACAGCTCGCTACTGGACATGCAGCTTCCGTGAGTCCACATTCCTTCAAACATACAGCCATCTTTTCAAAAGTATGCGCAATGAACTCTGATTATCAAATAGATGGTACCTTCCGAGAGAATTTTCTGGTTTTTAATATTACTTTCGCCTGTTTTTTCACTATCCTTTTAATGCGAATTCACAGCCACGTCTGCAGTGGCTTGGACAGCAAACAGGGTCATCCTTCGCTGAACAAGTACAGCATAGCCTTCAGCCGAAGCGTCCTCAAGACCATGCTCCTGGGGAAGATTCCCACGCTGTCCAAGAACGTGAGAGCGAAAGCAGCCCGCTTCATGCTCCGCTGTCTCAGCAAGGTGAGGACATTCAACCTCGTCGAGATCTACTACCCGTCTTAAGGGACCTCCGTCTTCCCTCAGCGGGAGCGAAGGTTCTTCGCAGTGCTCCTAGCCTACTATGCCGACTTATGTGGGCGAACTTTGCCCCAACCCTCCAAGTCGTAGTGCCCTTCTCTCTATTATGGCGATGAATGTCTCTGGATTTCTGGCTTTGAGCCCCCACCCTCATTGCCCTTTGGACCCCCCGCCCCGAACTCACGCATATGCGAATGAGTAGAATTAGTTGCTTTAGTTTTGACAATATGTACATTGACTTTGGCAGCACGGGAGCTACCGCTTTCGCGCAGGAAGAAATAAACTAAGAAGGAGTATTTGTGACGCTGTCACAGTGGCTTTCACTGCGTGTTGACAATGATCTGAAATAAGAAGCATGTGTGCACAAAAAATATGAATGAGAAGCGACAATGATGCGAAGGAACGTACATAATGTGAAGAAAGGCAATCGGGCGACAAAATTACTTGCCCCTTGCAGGAACTGAACCTGCGACTGCCGAGTAACACGTCTGATGCTCTGCCAAACTATAGCTACAGCGGCGTCCCCCCATCCACTTTATGGAGTATACCCCATAAAGTGTAGAAGAGAATGAGCAGTGGAACGTGCATGACGGCCAACACTATCTTTAAAGACCTCACTCGTCGTTAGATAACGCGGTTATTGCGAGCAATTGTGCACAAAGTCGTCAGACTAAAGAAACTTGATGTCTTGCTTGAATTCATGCGTATACTGTACGCCATTCACCATTGCGAATGTGTTCGCAGAGGAGGTATTTGTATGCCTCATCATGTACTAGCGCACAAAAAAGCACAAAACACACACAAGAAAGCACACTACACAAGGTATTGCGTCGTGAACCTCTTGTCTTTTTTGTGCGCTGATCGTGATGAGTATGTTCCAGCTAGCCTGATTTGCTACTTTATTAGTACGACATTGGCCCCGAAAGGTTTAACTCTCATATTTTCTTAACAATCAAGCATACATTCCTCCAGTTCTTTGTCCAATATGTTGTTTGCGCTCCTGGTAGAAACGCAAACACCGCGCCAAGTATATTATGCAGAATGTCTCTATTCGCTGCAGTGATATCGCAATCTCAGGCAGATGAGAAAATAGCGAGTTTGGAAGAGACATCGTTAGTGTTCATCCCTTGCTTGTCCCTTATTTTTTTTTGTGTGGCTTCCATTTGGTGGCGTTTTAACAATTATCTTGGACTCGGGCTTCTGTGTGCTATCATGTTCGTCCCTTTTTTAGATCAATAATATTTGTTCGCGTCACGATATCCATACTTCACATAGCCGTAAATTAAGATTATAACTGAATGCAGTTTAGTGACGAAAAAACAGAGTCATTCGCTTGTCAAAGAAAAACAAGTCAATTGCTCGGGAAAATGCCCTAAAAGCAGCATATATAGACCTCGCCATTTTTGTCTTTTCGTTTTGTACACTCAAGTGCCCAAGTAAATCACTCGCTCTAGGAAAAAACATCGCCCATACCTTCGCAGGTTCAATATCGTGGCATCTTGAGCCTCAAGGCATTCCTCCAAGAGCTGGGACTCCCGTGGCCGCACCAGTCCCCCGCAACACGACCGCAGCTTCTCGACGTCATCGTGCGGGCGTCGTTGCACTTCGGCATTCCCCTCTTCTGGGCCTTCTACATCGGCCGCCACCCGCTGCGACCGCTGCAGAACACCATATACATGACGCTCGATCCCAACTTCATGGAATGGGCTCGAGTAGTGCGCGCGCTCGTCGCCCGGGGCAGGGAGAGCGAGTACCTGAGACGCGGAGCCGAGATCATCGGGGGAGAGGGCCAATCGTACTCCTTCATGATACAACACGTGATGCAAGTGCACAGGCGGCCTCTACGACCTCACCACGCGTCTCTGTGGTTCGCGCGTCACGCCGCAGTTCTACAACCTGACCGACTCCGACCTCCGGAGGGCGCTCAACGGATACCTCCCGGACGACTCGCAGTTTTGGCCCGAGGACGAAATAGTCAACCTTCAGCCCGACTTCTTCTTGAACCTAGACTCCACGTACCTAAGCCTAAGCTCGAACCAGGAAAGTTTCAAGCTGTTCCTGGGTGCGTACGCCGTCTGGCTGCTGTCACCGATCGCTTCCGGCTACCTGAGGTCAAGTCTCCTGGCCGACTTGGGGCAAGAGAACGATGAAGCCAGCTACCATTCCGTCAAGTGCTTCGATACTCTCGAGGCGATTATGCCGCTCGTCAGGTTCCACCTCCACCTGGAGGCCAACGAAAACGTCGAGCGCATGAGACTCGTTGCCCAGCTATCCGTCGATGCCTTCGGCACGTGTCTCGGAAGCTACGGAAAGTCTTTGCGGAATCACGCGTACGCGGTATTAGCGCAACTTGCTCTCAACGCGTTCAACATGACGACCACCTGGCGACAGCTGAACAGAGTGTACGCCTACCTTCCTAGCGACCGCAACGTGTCCTCCTTTTTCGAGCTGTACCGCAGAGCCGCCCTGGCCACCGCGTCGTTCTTCGCGCTTTCCCTGCGCCGACCAAACCACAGCATCTTCCACGTACCGGGGATCAGCCAAGTCCTGCAGTATCGTCTCTTGGTGAGCCGCGAACTGTCGATCCAATACTTTCTCACGGTCGCGCCGCTCTACGGCACCTGGGAACCGACGACAGTTATTGCGGCGCTTTTCGGAACGCTGGTGTCTGTGCAGCTCGCCAGCTACATGCGGTTTGTCATACTCTACAACCACCGTTTTCAGGTGAGTGCTATTTAGGACAGTCAGCGCACTGTTCAACATTTGTCAAAGTAAAGGAAAACTTGTTCGTTACCATCTTGTGTTTGGTGTGGCTTTAGGTCACTCGTCGTCGTGTTATCTAGGTTATCGTCGAGGTGTTCATGAAAATTATGCTGAATGTTCCTTTATTTTTACGCACCTATAATAAATTATTCGCTAGATGTGTAACCAATTATCATAGCCTAAATACCACATGAAGGTATCAAAGTTACCGCACGAACAGCCGAAAGTATCCGCATTGTGCTGTTGCAATCGGGGCTGCCCTAACTTTCTTGTCGCATTGTAGGATACCATCGACACCTTGCGACATGAATACTGCATGCAGTCAGTTTAGAACACAGTTTCAGGCACCGGCGTAGCTCAGTGGCAGAGTTACTGGGCTGTCACGCGAAGATCCGAGTTCGATTTCCATTCAGTGTTCCTGATTTATTTCATTTTTTTTCTTATATTTCGCCCGATGTGGGTGAGCGACACCGGCGGTGACTGTGGCGGCGGACAACTACGGCGCCAGAATCGGCCCTCGTTGTGACCTCATGACAATGTTTCCTGTTTAAAATCTCGTTGAATTCTAGAGGATATCTGTATTAAAGCAATACAGTGAAAGAAGTATCAAAGTGTCCTAAAGTTTTTTTTTCTCTCTCACACACAGCCCTACCAAAGGGGGGAGCTTGGGCAAGACGCGAGAAGGTTGGCTGGATGACCGTGGGTCGTCTCGTGCTGATCGTTCGAAACGTTTTGCCGAACGCCAGCGACCATGAAATTCGCGAGGTGTACGACTGGAGCTTCGCTGCGCACGTTGCCAGCTACATGCTCCGAAGGCCCAAGTGGCTGCAAACATCGGCGGGTGGATGACAGGACACTTCCTTCGAAAAGGACCGCCTTTTTTTCTACCTCGTGTGCTACGCACAGTGCGGCACCGAGAACCGCGAACGTCTGCGAAAAGTGAGTATGCGCCCCACCGGTCGGGAAGAGTGACGCCTGGTTTTTTGCACGACCTTCCATTTATTCGACCCGCATTTCTCGTTTGAGGATGTAGTGCTGCTTTATAAACGCAGAAAAAAAAAAGTTTCAGAGCTCGCAGTTACACGAGAGGTGGTAAACACATCCATAATAGATATACAACAGAGACAAAGATGAAGGAAGGGACGAAACGAGGTGCAACAGTTACTGAGGGGAACAGCGCAAAAACGGGACGGAGAAAGATTGAACACACGACACAAGCACCGACTCGAAAAACATCTATCTTTTCCTGGAGGGCGAGGGAAAACTCACTGACGCACACGTTCCCTTTCGTCTTGGTATGAAAAGCCTTGTCAGTTTCGAAAGGAAACATGTGCGTCAGTGAGCCTTCACTTGCCCTCCTGGAAAAAGAGATAATGCTTTTAAGGCAGCGCTTGTGTCGTGTGTTCAATCTTTCTCTGTCTCGTTTTTGCGCTGTTCCCCGCAGTATAATGTGCCAACTAGCCCTTCAAGAAACCCGAGAGCAACAGTTACACGAGAGCCGATGGCAGTTACACGAAAGGTCGTAAACGTATCCATAAATAAATAAAAAGAAAGGTGAGAGCGATAAGTCGCACGAGTGAAACCCACCGTGTTGGCCCGACACGTGATCAAAACTTGAGAGCGTGCGGTAGGTTTTAGTACTCTCTGTGGTGTTCCGTTATCCGGTATGCGCCGAACAAGCGTGTTTCGATCAAACGTTACCGGTGCAATGCTCTGAGGTATCGGAAAGTCTCGTTGCTGGCGTGATCTCGCGCAAAAGGTCACGCGTTGGGATCTGGTTTCAAAGTGGCTTGGCTGGCCAAGGCTGGCTGAGTGACGTCATGCTCCCTCATTTCTTCTTTCTGCCATCAACATGTCCACAATGAATATACGAGAGAGACCGAGACGCATCAAGGGATGAAACGAGTGCAACTCACGCATAACTTCTTAATCGGGCTTTTGCTGGATGGATGTGTAGAAGATAAATGAACATGCAGAAAGAATACAAACTTTCTTAACGCCTTTCTAAGCTTTATGTTATTCTACATTACCGACCCAGACAACACTCGATGTTGTGAGGTCATCCTCGTTTGGTACAATCGTCCTCGCATAGTTTCATCGACCTTAGTACTTACTGAGGATGACACAAGCTGGTTTGCCCCGGAAACGTCTTTTCGAGTGCTTTCTGAGGACAACAAGTGGTCCGGAAAAGGTCCTGTTAAGGATCTTTTGGGGATGGCAAAAGCATTGCACGTGCACTTAGATATAATTCCTGAAGACCTTTGCGTACCAAGTAGATGCATTTCATACGTGAACACTCTCTCCACAAGTTTGTTTCTTACAGTCATAAAGTTATTGTATATTGTCGCCTCGTTTTTTTTTGCAGAACATTTTCAAGTTATGCGTTGCGCTTAATGAGACACACATAATCGATTGGCTTAGGTATCGAACCTGGTATTGCGAAATGTCCATTTGAAACAGTGTGTTCTTAAAGTCACAGCCTTAAATCAGTCATTATACGCTGCTGTAGTGCGTGATAACAAACTAGCAGCTGGCAACAATTGACCATGCGGCACCTATCTAGATAGTCAAGTTGCCAAGCCATTCCAAGCCAACTGACCTGGTAGGTGTTCTGTGAACTGACTGTAAAATGGCAGTGGCGGCCCTGTCAGGAAAAGTGCAGTGAACTAGTGAAGGTTCGTGTCCTTTGTTGTTTGTGTGCATGGTTAAAAGGGAGATATGTGTGAGAGTGTAAGTCGTAGGTGATTACGGTAGGTAAATTGCCCGGGTTTAAGGGTGCACTGGGCTGCTCAGCGTTCAGACTGATCATGGATGCATTGTCACCAGTCGACCGTGGCGAGGTGTGGTTCGAAGCAGCCTGGAACAACAGCCAATCGCGATCAATTGGGCTTCGAAGCAGCCTGGTCCCAATGTGAAAGGATCGACTTTTTCATCTGACACATGGCCCGACCTCGGGAAAGTCAAGTCAACGCCCGTGTCGTGTGTACTGATAGGCTGTCAGAGCAGAGCCTCAAACACTAGTGTGTGCATTGGGCGCGATACACGTGGTGATGAGAACACTGTGTCAAACTTTCGAGGAAGATTACAAACGTAGTTGATTGAGCTGTGTTGACTGCCTTGATACTGCTTTTATTTTTTCGGACTATACACATACTCGAATGCCTGACAAAGCTTTCAGTTGTGATTAATTACAGTGAAATAAATAATTTCAGTCAACAAGCTTTGTTTTACTCTAATAGTTTAGCACTGTCACGCCTCTGTTGATTGATACAGTATATATACTCGAGACCTCGCAGGTGTTTTTCTTTTGATGTGCGGAAATATGATGAAAAGAAGTAAATCCTAAGTAGTATCACTTCCCACAGTACCGAACCGGCCACGCTATCGTTACTGAAAGATACTGAAAAAGTCCTGAATTGTTGTTTTGAGGATGTGCTGAGGTTGTCATGTGTATGGACAAGGGGACGGGATTAGCGCCTTTCGAGTATCATAATAGGACATTCTGAGGGCGTCATATTGTCCTCACGGAGGCATACTGAGGACGTCCTGAGGTTGTGTTTGTGTTGTCTGGGGACAATCGTACTAACAGCTTGGAGGTATTGGGTTTGCTGCGCCCTGACTGTAGCCTTTAGAATGTCGGAAGTTTCAAGTCACAACCAACAAAAGTTTGTTTAAAAGTACAACTCACACCGAAAGGGAGGCCCCGGGACGTGGGACTGTGAGGCGGAGCTCATAGATTTGGGCAGTAGCAGTGGTCAAATACAGGTGGCGCTGGGCGATGAAACCACCACTGCACAGCACGCGGTGCTTTGCTCTCGAGCTAGACGATGTGCGTGGTACCAGCAAGGTGTTTCTCGCGTGAGCTTGAGAAACTTTCGTCTAAGTATAATACAGGCAGACAAATTGATATGGACCAAAACGAGTTGTGCTCCACAACCGCTAGGCGGGCACCTTATTACAGTATATAGCCCATTGGGGATCACCGCAACTCGGGGTCAGTCGACCAGGGCCTTCTAGCTCACCATGTCTCAACAGCCCAGTAGGACTGCCTGCCTCCCAGTCCTCCCGTGAAGCGGGGGGGAGGGGGGTTAAGGCGAGGTCCGTTGCTGATTAGAATGCCTGCACCGTGTGTAAGATACCCGAAGCTATATTGAACTAGAAGAAATCGTCTTCTATATCACTATACCGATAGCGTGCGAACACCTCTCCTCACAGCGCGGCCACTTCCTGTACAAGCAGCATCAAAGTGTTTTAAAACTTCCGGGCCCAACAGTGTGTGTGTGTGTGTGTGTGTGTGTGTGTGTGTGTGTGTGTGTGTGTGTGTGTGTGCGTGTGTGTGTGTGTGTGTGTGTGTGTGTGCGTGTGTGTGCGTGTGTGTGTGTGTGTGCGTGTGTGTGTGCGTGCGTGCGTGCGTGCGTGTGGGGGGCGGGCTTAAAGTAAATTGTTGCAGGGCTTAAAAAATTTGTGTTGTTGAATAATATAATTGAGTACCTTTTCAAAAAGACAAGGTCGGACTCGGTTCAGTAAACTTGACTACGAAGAAGTAAGGATCAACGTACAAGAATCGACTAACGAATGCATGCGCCAGCCGTTGAATTCAATAAGGGTCACGTGCGCCGTAGTTGTGCGCCCCGCCGCCGGTGTCTGTAACCACTAACGCGCAGAAAAGAAAAAAATCTAAGTTCATCGAAGACACCAAGGGCGCATTAGGATCCGAACCTGGGTCCCCTACGTGTCAGCCCAGTATTCTCCTTTGGAGCCACGCCGTTGCTTGAAAATTTGTGACAAACTGGCAGGCTGTATGTGAGTGATGAAGTGTTGTATATAACAACAAAAGTACAACCAGGCGTCAGACAATGCGAAAGGCGTAACGAGTGGTAGTCTATTGTTCGGACCATTTACGAAAGCTTCAGGTATAATTCTTCATCGTCGTCAGCCACAGCATAAAAAAAGACTGTACGAAATTCCATGCAAGTGTATAGCGGGTACCACGCTTCACACATATTGACGAAGAGTGGCGTAGTGAATGGTTCCCTACTACACAAAAACTATAATCATTAACGGCGTAGTGGATACCCTGCAAAAGTTCTTCTAGCAGTTACCCAAAGAGTGTTTAAAAAAGGCTCTGAAAGGCCGCTCTTCCAGCTTTCACTGTGTTTGTGCTGCGCCTTCCGCGCAGGCCTGGTGGTTTTTTCTATGTGCGGATGAAGAGAGCAAGCGCGCGAATCTCGTCGTGTTCGTGTATCGGGCCGTGGTGCAGGAATCTTGCGCACATTATGAGGTCTCGAGGAAATCGCATTTTGAGGAGTGCATGATAGGTAGCGTTCAAGTGAGCCAAAGGTTTTACTGTAGTTGACAAAGGCTTTTTGCGTCGATGCTACTGACTAGACAAACCATTAAAGAAGCAGTGCATGGTGTTGCAAAGAAGAAAACTCTTCGTGCTGTTCCCTGGCAATACCCGAGCACAGTACGTGCTCCGCTATGTAGACAGCCGCGTATAGCGAGCGATGGGGACATGCATAGCGAGTTTAAAGCTTTGTAGAGCTTGTGCAGGGTCGGTTTTTTAGGCCACCCTTATCTCACGCTTGTACATATATAGTTAAAATGAATGTATTTCACAACTGCCACCATCTCATGGTAGATTGAAGTTAATTGAATAAGTGAGCTCAAAGAAATAGAAAATAAGGTAGAGAGAAGAAGCAAGCATCGCGAACAGCCACCACACCACTTCTCCAAGCCGAGCATGCGCGGAAGCTAGCAGCACCCTCCGATGGAGACGACTTCCACTCTGCAGCTAAAGGTGTACACGATGCGCTCGATTGAGCAAAGACAGCTATGGGGAGTCCCAAGAAAGTGCGTTCTGCCTAGAAGGAACTCGCGCATATCGAAGCGAGACGCGTTGGTCGACGGGAGTACGAGTGGTGAAGGGCCAGTGC